TCCAGGTGGCAAGCTCTGTTTCTGGAGCCAGAGCTGGATGCTGCGACTGGCGCAAGAGAGCCCTGGACCCACAACCTTCAGTCCTCCCCCGGTATGCCTCTCCGACTCCACAAGGTGGCAGTATTGCACCGTGGCAAGCGCACCTGCCCCGAGCTTGGGGAGTGCAGATCCCAGGTAAGAACCTGCCCGCTCAGTTTTCTGAAAACAACCCGGAGCTTCTCTGCGACTCTTTCTTTAAATCTTTAAAGTGGAGGTGATAACAGGTCCCACCTCATAGGATGCTGAGGAGATTAAATGAGTTCACATTTATAAAGAGCCCGGAATAATGCCTGGCAAAAGATAAAGTACGTTATGAGAGTAGCTATGATGGCGATGACGTTGACGGTCAGGATGATAGACGACTCATTTTGTTGTGTTGTGATTTGTGACTTTCTTTCCCTCTGATCTCTTTATATCCACGTCTCTGTGTGTCCATGCCTCCACTTTTTCCTCCGCTGAGGTCACAAACTCAGCCACCTCCTGGGGCCAGGCAGGAAGTATAAATGAGGGAAGCTGACTGTGTGGGAGCCAAGGAAAACCGCAGGGTGCCCCCGGGGTGGCCACTCAGCACCTGCTGATGCTGGATTATGGCCGCGTGGGAATGCAGGCGTGATGTTGACTGATAACCGTGGCCTTTTCAAGGGAAACTTGAAATCTCCTGACCTTTTAATGCTCCTGATCCATTCAAACAAACAAGCCAACAAAAAAGTCCAGAATCTAAGAGGCCAGATGTGTCTGCAGCCTGCATTTATTCACGACCGCCCTCTATGGGTGTCCCGGGTAGAGACCCTAGGAATTGGAATGAATTTCACTCCATAGCCAGAGGAGCCAGAAAGCAACACAGTCCTTTCATGAAACAGAAATAATAAGCCTCTCTCCTCTCCTTTCAGAAAGAAACCACAGCCGGCAGGGCCTGGTGGCTCACGCCTGTAACCCCAGCACAAGGGCTGAAGGTAATCACAAAGATCACCTGATCACCCATAAGAGGGAGACATAAGAGTCAGTCAGAGAAGGGGGGTGAGTACATGAAGCAGAGGTCAGGATGATGCGACTGTTGGATTTGAAGATGGAGGAAGCGGCCACCAGCCAAGGCATGCAGGTGACATCTTAAAGCTGGAAACAGTGAAGAAACAGAGCCTCCTCTGAGGCATCCTGAAGGAATCAGCCTGACACTTTGACTTTAGCCCAGTGACACTGGCTTTGGACTCGTGACTCTGGCATTGTAAGAGAATGTGTCTCTTTTTGTTTTCAGCCACTAAGTTTGTGGTAGTTAAGACAGCAGCAACGGGAAATGAATACAGACTTAATACACTTGACAACAAATAAAATCAGGGTAAAGAGGAGGAGCCATTCTAGACAGGGGCCCAGGAGGGAACATTTAAGAAGAAACCAGGACCAGGTGCAGTGCCTCATGCCTATAATCTTGTGAGGCTGAGGCAGGCAGATCACTTGAGCCCACGAGTTCAAGACCAACCTGGGCAACTTGTGGGACCCTGTCTCAAAAAAAATAAAAATAAAACAGGAAAAAGAAACAGGTAAAATTAATCTTAGTAACTTCCTTAACTTGATATATTCAAACTTGTCATTTCCACATGTAACCAATGTAAAAAAATCAATAAGAGAATTTATATTCTTTATTCCACACTAGATCTTCGAAATTGTGTGTATTTTTACACTCACAGCACATCTCAATTTGGATGCTATGTTTTTTCAGAAATATTTGATCTGCACTCAGAGCCCAGAAAGCTTAGAGTTGAAAAGGATGATTCACGCACCCAGGTTGTTCTAAACTCACTTAATTAAAACTCTTTCCCACCTGCATTCTGATCTAGGGAGCCACAGGGTGACAGAGACAGAGTTGAAAGACTAGACAATAAATAGTGCTGTGGGCGGTGAGAAATCAGAGACAAGGACACAGAAACAGGGGACAGAGACCAACACAGAGAGGAAAACAAAGACAGAGAGACATGAGAGAAGACAGGAGGAAAGCAGAGACAGAAAAAGACGGACAGAGACACAGGTGCCGAGCCACAGACGAAGAGACAGAGATGGGAGGAGAGAGAGATGCAGAGACAGATGGACAGAGACACAGGCATGGAGCCACAGACGGGGAGACAGAGAAGGCAAGGAAAGACAGAGACAGGAAGAAAGACACACAGGGCCAGAGAGAGACAGAGATCAGAGGGTCACAGAAGTCTGAGGCAGAGTGAGAGAGACAGACTCAGAGAGAGACAGAAACGGAAAGAGAGCGAGAGGCACACCAGGGTTCCTGTCTTGCGGCCCCAGCCTATGTCCTGTCCTGCCCAGAGTTATTTGGGGGTGCACGGGCCCAGGACAGAGTTGGGGGAGGGTCTCACTGGGGATGCTTCCAGTCTAGCAGGTGGGAGAAACAGAGACAAGGGGGAGAGAGAGAGACAGAGATAGAGCCCGAGAGATGGGTAAAAAGAGAACCAGAGGGCTGGGGACGGTGGCTCACGCCTGTCATCCCAGCACTTTGGGAGGCCGAGGTGGGCGGATCACAAGGTCAAGAGATTGAGACCAGCCTGGCCAACATGGTGAAACTCTGTCTCTACCAAAAATACAAAAATTAGCCGGGCGGACACCTGTAATCCCAGCTACTCGAGAGGCTGAGGCAGAATTGCTTGAACTCAGGAGGCGGAGGTTGCCGTAAGCCGAGATCGCGCCACTGCACTCCAGCCTGGCTACAGAGGGGGACTCTGTCGTCTCAAAAAAAAAAAAAAGCCGGAGAGAGACAGAGACACAGGGTGCGGTGTGAGGGAGAGAAGGAAGGAAGGAGAAAGAATGTTAAAGAGCAGAGACAAGACCCAGGAGAGGCAGAGAGAGAGACGGGGACATTCATGCCTCATCGCCGTCATCTGCCGGCACCACCCTCACCCGCGACGACTCCGCGGTCTACACCCACCCACTCCTTGGGTGATCTCATCTGGCCTCGTGGCTGTAAACACCACCTCTCCCCTGCTGAGTCCCCACTGTTTCTTTCTAGCCAGTCCTGACCTTGACCTGCCCCTCCGTGCTCTACTGCACCTCACACACACACCTGTGCTGGTGTCTCCACAAGATCCGCAGAGGCGCCGGCAGCGCAGGGGCTGAGACCAAGCCTCCACGCCATCCCTGGCCCCTCTGCTCCTGGCCCCCCACTTTGCATCCATCCGGCAGTAACTTGGCTCCACATGCAGAGGGGACCCCACGTCCATTCACCTGTCTTCTCCCTTGACCCCATCACCTCCCACCTGGGCTGTTGCCACCGGCCCCCGCCCCACCCCCGCCATCACTCTCCACGATGAAAGTTTTTAAAAAGTAAATAAGATGACGTCACTCCATCCTCGTGCTTAAAATCCACTGCACTTAAGTTAAACCCAAACACCCTTAACCCTGGTACATAAACCCCTGGAGGCCTGCCCGGCCCCTGGTCTGCTCTCCTGCCCGCCCCACCCTCCTTTGCCTGGAGCCAAGTTCTCCCCTGCACCCGGCAACCTACCCTGCTGCAGGGGCCCTCCTCCTCCTCCTCCCCACTTGGCTCTGGGCTTAAATGTTTCCCTTCTCTGAGACTCCCGACCACCCCTTACATGCTGGTTCCTGCAGTTTTCCTTTATGGTCTGTGCCCCCCCGTGGGACGCGATCCCCAGTGGCCCCAGCACCTGCGCAGAGCTTGGAGCGTGGTGGGCACTCAGCTGCTTTTCACCGAGATAACTTTATAGTTCTCCCACGCACTGGGAGCCTACGATGTGCCTGGCACCGTGAGCCTTTCCCCGAATTACCTCTTTGAATTCACTTTGGAAACGAGGCATAATGGTCACCCCAGTTTTACGGCTGGAAAAACTGAGGCTCACAGGAGTGCAGTTACTTGCCGAAGCCTCCCAAAATACCGTGTGATGTAGGCTGGATGTGAACCCAGGGAAATTTGCTGGAGAAGCACAGAAAGAGGGTGATGGAGGAGGCGGGGAGAGAAAGAGAGAGAGAGAGAGATTTAGTTTAAAGAGAGAGAACACGCGAGAGAACAGGACAGAATGAGAGAAAATGAAAGAAAACACGAGAGAATGAAAGAACAAGAGAAAGAAAAGGAGAGATAGAGGCAAGGGAGGTATCTTGTGAGAGACAATAAGAACATGAAAAGAGATAGAACGAGAGAGAGAGCAAAAAAGGGAGAGTGGAGTCTAGGATCTGGGCAGGGGTCTCCTTCCTGGGCCCCTGGCCCCTGCCGCCAGCCCCATGTGGGCCCCGGACCACTGCCTGGTCAGAGCTGAGGCAGCCTGAGAGAGTTGAGCTGGAAGCTCCCAGCACCTGACCCCTGGAATGCATCCCCTGGGGGGCAGGTCAGCACAGGCTGAGGACGCTTATAAGCCCCACAGAGGCCCCTGCGGGAGGCCACAGGCTGGAGCTCAGCCCAGCAGCAGAATCCAGGAGCCCAGAGGTGGCCAGGTAAGAGGCCTGGTGGTCCCCCACTAAAAGCCTGCTGTCTTCGGGATCCAACTCCCCACAGCTCCGTGTCACTGGATTCTTAGCCTCTGGGCCTTCTGTCTCCACATCTCTCCAGATAGATCTCTCACTGTCTCTAGATAGGACTCTCTCTCTCTCTCTCTCTCTCTCTCTCTCTCTCTGTCTCTTACTCCGTCTCCCTCAGCCTCTCTGTCTCTCTGAACCTATGTCTCCATGTCTAACTCTCAGCTGTCTCTGAGGGTATCTCTCAAATGCTCTGTCTCTCTGGCTCCAATTCTCTCTGTCTTCCCTCTGTGCTTATTCATGGGTGACTAGACACCATCTCTCCCCACTCATAGATGGCTAGATGCTTTCTCTAAACTTTCCTTTCTACCTAGTTCTCTCTCTTTCTCTGTCTCTAAATCTGTCTCTCTAAGAAAGGGAGGGAGAAATAGAGGGAGAGAGAGACTTGCAGATCCCCAGACACAGCTGAGGCTCAGCCTTCATCCCCAGGTGCTGACGTGATGGCCACAGCGGGAAACCCCTGGGGCTGGTTCCTGGGGTACCTCATCCTTGGTGTCACAGGTATCTGAGTGTGCATGTGTGTGTGGCTGTCTGTGCTTGGGGGCACAGTGTTTGTTAATGTTCAGGCGTGATTCAGTGTCCTGTTTGTGACTGCAAAGCTGCCTGTGAGACGGTACCATGTGATCTGTCCCCCGTGGCTGTCCCCCTGCACCTCCTCGTATCGTGGTGAATGTGTGTGTGGCACTGTGGGTGTGTGGTTGTGCCTGTGAGACTCTGACAGTTTGTGCCTCTGAATATCTGGTGGAGTGACAACAGTGTAATGATGATGTGGGGACAGGGAAGCCAAGGGTGCGGGAGATTGTGCTTCCCAGGGAGTGATCCATTGCTGGGAATCTGTGGCTGCTTCCTGGGTCTTCAGTCCTGAGATCCCCCTCTCCCATCCCTGAGGAACTCACCTAACAGAACTATATAATGGTGTTTTGGTGTGAATGCGCTTGTGGCTGGGTGTGACTGTGGGCAAGCCTGGGAAGGATAGGAGGACCAACTCTTTGAGCATCAGTCTGTGCAGGCAAGTGACCCGATCCTGGCTCCCAGCAACAACTCCACCCCCCTGAGCTTTAATCCACCCCAAAGGGACTTGATCCCACCGCTATGAGCCTAGACTCCTCTGTTGGAGCCCTGACCGTGGTTTTGTACCGTGATGGCACTAGTCTCACCTCCAGAGCCCACCCCACAGCGCTGACTCTGCCCCAGGAGCCCTGGTCCCACCTTCTGAGACTTCTCTACCTATAACCCTGCTCTTGAAGTCTTGATCCTGCCCCTGCGCTGTAACCCCAACCCCAGGAGCACCGATCCTGCCTTCTCAGCCCACCCCCTTGCCTTGACTCACCTCCCAGGAGCCCTGACTACCCTGAGTCCCTGACCAGGCTCCTGCACAGTCATTACCAACCCTGGGAGCCCTGGGCCTATCTCCTAGAGGAGGGCCCCTGAAACTCCGACCACAACCCCTGCACAATAACCCCACCCCCAAGAGCCCTGACTCCGCCCCCAGGGGGGTCCTGCTCCTGCAAGCCCTCACCACGCCCCTGCACCGTAACCCCACCCCCGAGCCCTGGGACCGCCCCCAGCCCTGACTCCGCCCCCAGGAGTCCAGCCTGCTCCTGAAGCTCTGAACACACCCATGCGTCGTAACCCCACCCTCAGGAGCCCGGGGCCCGTCTCCTGGGCCCGCCCCCAGCCCTGACTCCGCCCCCAGGATCGCTCGTCTCTGGTACCTGCAGCCAAATCGTAAACGGCGAGGACTGCAGCCCGCACTCGCAGCCCTGGCAGGCAGCACTGGTCATGGAAAACGAATTGTTCTGCTCGGGCGTCCTGGTGCATCCGCAGTGGGTGCTGTCAGCCGCACACTGTTTCCAGAAGTGAGTGGAGTGGGCGGGGCCTGGGTCCGGGAGTGGTGCCTGGATGTCTCCTTGGCTGAAGGCGGGAGCCTAAGATCAGGCTCATCCTGGGGTGCTCAGAGGGAAACAGCGGGGAAGGCTCTGGGAGGAGGACGGAATGAGCCTGGATCGGGGAGCCCAGAGTGAAGGGCTGGGAGGCGGGAGCCTTGCTTCGGAAGGACTCAGAGAGCCCTGGGTTGACATCCCAGCCCAGTGCTGTCTCTAGTGAACTAAGGCAACTTCTTGTCCCTGAATTTTTGTGAATGAGGATTTGAGACCATGGTTAAGTAGCTCTTAGCAGGGTGTTTAGCAAAGAGAATGGAGTTGGGGTTAGGGAATGGGGTTGAAGATGAGACTAGAGAGAAGGATGTAGTTGCCACAGAACTGACCTGCCCTCCTTGGCCCAGCTCCTACACCATCGGGCTGGGCCTGCACAGTCTTGATGCCGATCAAGAGCCAGGCAGCCAGATGGTGGCGGCCAGCCTCTCCGTACAGCACCCAGAGTACAACAGACCCTTGCTGGCCAACGACCTCATGCTCATCAGACTGGATGAGTCCGTGTCCGAGTCCGACACCATCCGGAACATCAGCATTGCCTCCCAGTGCCCTACCATGGGGGACTCTTGCCTCGTTTCTGGCTGGGGTCTGCTGGCGAACGGTGAGCTCAGGGGTATGTGTCTGCCCTCTTTGAGGGGTCCTCTATCCAGTCGCGGGGGCTGACCCAGACCTCTGCATCCCAGGCGGAATGCCCACCGTCCTGCAGTGCGTAAACGTGTCGGTGGTGTCGGAGGAGGTCTGCAGTGAGCTCTATGACGCAGTGTACCACCCCAGCATGTTCTGCGCTGGTGGAGGGCAGGACCAGAAGGACTCCTGCAATGTGAGAGATGGGAAAGGAGAGGGCAGGCGACTCAGGGAAGGGTGGAGAAGAGTGGGACAGAGACACACAGGGCCGCATGGTGAGATGCAGAGACAGAGACACACAGGGAGACACTGACAACTGGCAGGAGAGACTGGGAGAAACAGAGAAATAGACATAGGAGTAAAGAGAAGCAAAGGAAGATAGAAACGGAAATAGAGACAGACACAGGGAGGCAGAAACACACACATACACACACACACACACAAAATGCGGTTGACAACAGAAGAACAGCAGCATGGGGGCTGGGGGCGCTGTCCTCCATCCAACAGAAAATCCTTGTATAATATTTGACTCCCCAAAAATGTAACTAAAATAGTCTACTGTTGATGGGAGAGCCTTACCAATAACATTAATAGTCAATGTATGCATACATTTTATGCATTCATGATATAACTTTGTTGGAATTTTTTGATATTTCTAAGCGAAGCAGTTCATCTGCAAATTTTTTTAAATTGTTGCAACTCTCCAAAATTTTTTCTAATATATTTATTGAAAAAAATCCAAGTATAAGTGGACTTGTGCAGTTCAAAACAAGGTTGTTCCAGGGTCAGCTGTGTACTCACAGGGAAACAGTGACACAGATTTGGAGAGATGAAACACGAAGATAAATAGGAAAAACCAAGACTCTGCAAACGGGCTGGGTGTGGTGGCTCATGCCTGTAATCCCAGCACTTTAGGAGACAGAGGCAGGCAGATCACTTGAGGTAAGGAGTTTTAGCCTAGCCAACATGGTGAAATCCTGTCTCTACTAAAAATACAAAAGTTAGCCGAGTGTGGTGGTGGGTGCCTGTAATCCCAGCTATTTGGGAGGCTGAGGCAGGAGAGTTGCTTGAACCTGGAAGGCAGAGGTTGCAGTGAGTCGAGATCGCACCACTTCACCCAGCCTGGGCACCAGAGTGGGACTCTTTCTAAAAAAAAAAAAGACTTTACAAAGACATGCAGAGACACTGAGACAGAGAAACAAGCCGTGAAGGAGACAGAGAAGGAGAGACAGACAAACAACAAGCCCAAGAGAAGCAGCCAGCATTCAGGATGCAGGACATGAGGGAGCCGGGTTAGGTGGCGCCAGGGATGTGGAATGGGACTTCCAAGAGATGTGTTGCTGGGCTGTGTTCCCTTGTTATTGTTGATGTTTCTGTCTTTCTTTCTCATTTAGTTTCTCTCTGATCCCATATCCATTTCCACCCCTCTGTGTTTCAGATTCTGACTCTCTCTCTCTTCACAACAGGGTGACTCTGGGGGACCCCTGATCTGCAAAGGGTCCTTGCAGGGCCTTGTGTCTTTTGGACAAGCCCCGTGTGGCCAAGTCGGCATGCCAAGCGTCTACACCAACCTCTGCAAATTCACTGAGTGGATAGAGAAAACCATCCAGGCCAGTTAAATATAGGGACTTGGGCCCATGAAATTGACCCACAAATACATCCTGCAGAAGGAATTCAGGAATCTAGGTTCCCAGCCCCTCCTCCGTCAGACCCAGGGATCCAGGCCCCCAGCTCCTCCTCCCTCAGACCCAGGGATCCAGGCCCCCAGCTCCTCCTCCCTCAGACCCAGAGCTCCAGGCCCCCAGCCCCTCCTCCCTCAGACCCAGGAGTCCAGGCCCAAGTCCCTCCTCCCTCAGACCTAGCAGTCCAATGCCACCTAGACTCTTCCTGTACACAGTGCTGCCTTGTGGCACGATGTTGACCCAACCTTACCAGTATTAAAGTTGCGTTTTCACATATTTTGTCCCATTTCCCTAGATCCAGAAATAAAGTCTAAGAGAAGTGCAGATTCTGTTTCCAGTATCCTCCTTGCTTCCCTTCCACTCAAGAGATTCTAGCAAATGGCTTTCCCTTCATAGGTCTCAGTTTCCCTATCTGAGAAATGGGAGCTTTGACCAGGAGGCCACAGGGTTTCAGAGGGAGCAGCCGTTCCCTGGGTAATTAAGAGAAACCAGTGCCATGGATGTTGTCCAGTTTCTGAATAGTCGAGTCAGCAAATGGTAACTAGAGATTTTCTTGCTCAGTTTAACTACTCAACTTTAGTTCACATCTACTTATTTTTGTCTTCTAACTGCATTTCAAGAACTTTTCATTTGCATCTGTCTCAGGACTCGGCTGCTGTAGCTGGAGTCTGGTGGGGGAAATAGCGGAGAGGCCTACTGTGAGTGAGAGCTACAGAGACCAAAGAGCAGAGACAGGGGAGGCTGAGGGGCAGAATGGGGCAACTGAGGGGCAAGGAGATGGGAGACTGAATAAGTATACAGATAATTTGAACAATATGATTAACACACTCTACTTAACGCTCAGATATGGAGTGTTGCACCCAGTACCTGAAAAATGTAGAATTTCAAAAGTCAACTACCAGAATGGCTAAAATGGAAAAGAATGACGGTACGAAGTCTCAGTTTTATCTAGAGCAGCTGCAACTCTCCTACATTGCTGGGGGTGGGGGTGCGGGATAAAATGGTACAACCGTCAGGAGGCTGAGGCCGGAGAATTGCTTGAGCCTGGGAGTTCTTGCTATGAAGTAAGCTGTGATCACACTAGCCTGGGTGACAGAGCAAGACCCTGTCTCTAAAAGAAAAAACATTCATAGGACCTCAGGGGATGAATGGACAGTATATACGACCTTAGTGAATGGATGGACAGGTCATTTTACTCATCCCAGGTTTACTTGTATAGACATGAACTTGATTACCAATTTTGCCTCAGATGGTTCTGCAAGCATCCTGGCGAGGTTGCCTATAAGAACAAAATGGTGACACTTGGGCCCCTGTGGCACTCCTTGCTCTGAAGAAAAGACAGACAGTTCAGATAAACTCCCTAGGATAATGCCAGACCTCAATTAGTTGGATAGAAACATGTCCCGTCGCAGGCAGCAGGCCCCAAGGTAGAAATGGAAGGCCTCTCTCTGTGTGTTAGACGGACAAAGAGTCCAAACGGCTTTTCATGATTATCCAGATGATGTTTTATAAAGGTGAGGTAGGAGATCAGCAGGACTTGTTTTCTGGTCACAACCGTGCTGACCAAAACAAGTCCAGACAGGATAAAATAAAATAAAAACAGCAGGAATGACCAGATGAAGAAAAAGTGATCCCTATCTGCCCTCATTGCTCACTGGTATAGAACACTCTCACCAGTGCCATGACAGTTGATAAATACCATGGCAGTGACCTGGAAGTTACCTCCCTTTCCATGGCAATGACCCAGAAGTTATCTCCCCTTTCCATGGCAGTGACCTGGAAGTTACTTCTCCTTTCCATGGCAGTGACCCAGAAGTTACTGCTCTTTTCCTAGAAAGTTCTTGATAAACGACCCCTCAATTTGCATTGACCCATTACTTAATTTGCATGTAATTGAAAGTGGGTTTACACGAGTATAAATATAGTTGCCAAGAGCCCATAGGTTGCTGACTCTGAGCACACTGCCTATGATGTCGCCCTGTTTCTCAAGGAGCAGCACCATTCAAGGAAGATTGCTGTCTCACACCACCAGTTCACCCTTGAATCCTTTCCTGGGTGAAGCCAAGAACCCTCCCGAGCTAAGCCCCAACTTCAGAGCTAACCCATTCTGCAATGAAGTGGCAGTCTCTTGTGATCCACATGCAAAGAATTTTAACTCCAAAATGAAGACCTCAGTCACCAAATTCAGATTCTAGACTTTGAGCTTCATCTTCCTGGAGATCAGACTGGTGGTCCAAGCTCCAGACATCAGACCAGTCTTTGGACTCTAGAACCAAGACTTCCATTTCTGGATTCCATGTTCCAGGTTCCAGTTTGATCAGAAGTAAACAAATTACCCCTGAGGGCCAAATTCAGCTGCTGTGTGTTTTTGTAAATAACATTTTGTTAGATCATAGTCAGAATAACTCCTTCGTGTGTTGTCTATGACTGTTTTTATGCTGGGACAGCAGAAATGAGCAATTACAGCAAAGACTGTCTGGCCCACAAAGCTTAACATAATTACTTTCTGGACCTTTGCAGAAATAGTTTGCTAATGTCTGGTCTAGATTTCAGATGCTTCACTCAAACCCCAAAATCCCAGAATTCAGATCCCAGGCTCTAGATTATACAGCACCACCTGGAGATTCTGAAGGCTGAGTCCAGACCTCAGACCCAGGCTCCAAACTCTATCCCTCTGCTCTAGATTCCCAACTCCAGACCCCTGACAAGACCCCAACCACCCTCCAGAGATCCAGCAATCTCTCCAATGAGAAATCCACTGAGAGAAACAGGAAAGAATGATGGAGACAGTGTCAGCCACAGAGAGACAGATACAAAGACAGAGAGTGTGGGTGTGTTAGTTGTCTGTCTCAAAGACAGACAGAAACAGGCAGACAGGCAGTACCTGACCAAGAAGCTCAACTGAGAAATACAGTGATAGAAAGAGTCTGTGGCCATTCGCTCATTCTCATTTATTCAGTAAGTACTTATCAGTTACCTACTATGTGCTAGGCACTGTTTTAGGGGCTTTGGATAAACCAGTGAACAAAACTGGGAAATACCCTTGTCCTGGTTGTAGTTGAGAGATACAAACAATAGAAAATAAATCCAATAAAATAAATGACAAATTAGATATACATTTATACGTGTTAATGTAATATTGTATATTCACACAGACCATATACAATAAGTTAAATAAAAGGAAGATCAGGGAGAGGGAAGTTTGCAGTGTTAAAAAGGGAACAGATAAGGCCGGGTGCGGTGGCTCAAGCCTGTAATCCCAGCACTTTGGGAGGCCGAGGCGGGTGGATCACGAGGTCAAGAGATCGAGACCATCCTGGTCAACATGGTGAAACCCTGTCTCTACTAAAAATACAAAAAATTAGCTGGGCATGGTGGTGCGTGCCTGTAATCCCAGCTACTCAGGAGGCTGAGGCAGGAGAATTGCCTGAACCCAGGAGGCAGAGGTTGCGGTGAGCCGAGATCGCGCCATTGCACTCCAGCCTGGGTAACATGAGTGAAACTCCGTAAAAAAAAAAAAAAAAAAAAAAGGAACAGATGTTCCATAAACTGGTGAGTGGACAAATAAACAGTGGTACATCCATACAATGGGATCCTATTCAGCAGTAAAAGTGGAACAAGCCGCTCATAGCTGTGACCTTCGACAAGTTACTTAACCTGTTACTTAACTCTGTGAAATGGGGCTGATGATAAAATCTTCCAGGTGAGGTTGCTATTAAAGTGAGTTACTGCCTTAACCTGCTGAATAGCTGGGATTACAGGTGCCCGCCACCACGCCCGGCTAATTTTTGTGCTTTTTTTTTTTTTTTCTTTTTTTAAAGTGGAGACGGAGTTTCTCCATGTTGGCCAGGCTGGTCTCAAACTCCTGACCTCGGCTTCCTAAAATGCTGGAATTACAGGTGTGAGCCACCGCACTGGGCCTGTTTCTGGATTATTATATCACTCTAATTTACCATGTGACTGAATCTCTGTGCTTGTACCTATTTCGTTCAGTCTCATGTGCTGTGTGTCTCATTGTGTGAGCACCTTGTGTGATCACCCTGCAGCTTTGCAAAAGTGTGTGTAGCTGAGTGTGATGTCACATGGGAGGTTGTGCCCCTGTGCCTGTCACCTGTCCTGTGTCCCCGAGCCGGACTCCAGGGTTCTGACATGTGGCTGTGTGTTGAGTCATGCCCTGCCCACTGGTACCTTGGGAGGCTGTGTGGGACAGCGGTTAAGGAAATAGGCCGTGGAGCCGCCCTGCCCGGGTTCAAAGCCCTGCCCTGCCATTTCTTACCTGGGAGACTCTGGGCAACTTTTCTAACGTCTCTGTGCCTCAGTTTCCCCATTTCAGAATGAGGATCATGGTCCTATCCGCTTTAAGTGGTAATCTGAGTGTGGATAAATATTACAAATACTCTTCACCCGAAATGGTCATCTGAACATGAGTTACATAATACATGCCTGTCAGCACCAGAATGCCTGGTCCATAGGTGATTGAGAAACTATGAGCTGTAATTATCACTGATATGAGTATGTCTCAGCCAGTGTGCTCCCTGCTGGCAGAGAGGGTTTGGAGGTTTGGAGGATGAAGGGCAGGTACAAGGGCCTCAGCTGCATAGCCATTTCTTTTCTTTTTCTTTTTCTTTTTTTTTGAGATGGAGTTTCACTCTTGTTGCCCAGGCTGGTGAGCAATGGCGCGATCTCAGCTCACCAAAGACTGGGCGTGGTGGCTCACTCCTGTAATCCCAGCACTTTGGGAGGCCAAGGTGGGCGGATCGCCTGAGATCAGGAGTTCGAAACCAGACGAGCCAACATGGTGAAACCCCGTCTTCACTAAAAATACAAAAATTAGCCAGGCATGGTGGTGGGCGCCTGTAATCCTAGCTGCTCAGGAGGCTGAGGCAGGAGAGTTGCTTAAACCTGGGAGGCAGAGGTTGCAGCGAGCTGAGATTGCGTCACTGAACTTCAGACTGGACAACAAGAACAAGACTCAGAAAAAAGAAAGAGAGAAAGAGAGAGACACAGAAAGAAAGAGAAAGAAAGAGAGAGAGAGAGAAAGAGAAAGAAAGAAGAAAGAAAAGAAAAGAAAGAAGAAGGGAGGGAGGAAAAGAGGGAGAGAGGGTGGGAGGGGAGGGAAGAAGGAAAGAAGGAAGGAAGCGAGGGAGGGAGGGGAGGGAGGGACCAAGGGAGGGAAAAGAAAAGAGAAGGGGACTGTGTGCAGAAAACCGGGAGATATGCAGTCAAGAAGCATCAGAGAAACAAAAAGGTCAAAACAAAAGATCAAAAAAGGCCATGAAGCATCTTCCAGTTCTCCTGGGATGCGTGTTCTGGAGGAAGGCAGCCATCATGCATGGACTCTGATTCCCCAGAGGCCGTCATGCTGAGAGGCTGCCCGTAGGCACTTGATGCAGTCCCAGCCTAGTTCAGCGTTTCAGTCACTGCAACCCAGGTGCCTGACATGTGAATGAAGGAGCTCCAGATGACTCCAGTACCCAGTCTTCCAGTCACCCCCAAACCTTTGAGTTTTTGGTGGCAGAGACAAGCATCTCCTCTTTCTTTGGGTCTCCCTGCATTTTTCTGTGCCTTATCCTAATTCCCAACCCACACAATCCATAAGTGTAATAAAATGGTTGTTTTACATACTATGATTAGGGTGGTCATTCACAATTATGCTATATATATGCTACATATATATTCACAATTACGCTATAATTCACTATTGCTGTATAATCAATAAGGAGAGCCAGGGAGAAATAGAAACACACAGAGAGAAACACAGAGTCAAGAGGTTGAGACACAAGGGATGGAGAGAGAAGTCCAGGGGAGATGCCCAGAGGTGAAGAGGAGAAAAAAGAAATGCAAATATAAAATATAAAATGAGTGCAGGGATAAAGGACATAGCTATAGGGATACGGTCATTGGCTGAACTCAGGAATCCCTAACTCCAAACGCAACCACACCCTCAACCCCATCCCCACCCTACACCACCTCAGTCAGCAGCTCCATGACCAGTTATCCCCAGTCCCAACCCGATTCCCACTCCAACAGGAGAGCTGCCCGACAGGGGCTGAAAGAGCAGGACCAGGTGGGCCCAGAGCTCCCAGAGGAACATTCCGAGGGTTGGGAGTGGAGTTCAGGAGAGCAGGGAAGCTGGTTTTCAGAAGGCCTGTCCCTGCCTGCCTGGCTGCAATTTTATTGTCTGTTTGGGTTTTCTCCATCAGCGTCTCTCCAGTTTGGCCCTTAGAACTCTGTGTCCCTACCTGTCTTGGGTCTTTCTGTGAGCCTGGGCTTCACTGTTCCACTGTCTGTCTCTCACCGACTCTGGGTCTCAGAGTTTCTCGGACGTGTTGTGTCAATCTGCTCTGACTCTGCGTGTCTCACTGTCTCCACCTCTCCCACTGTCCATGTGTTTCTGCCTTGCTCTCTCTCTCTCTCTCTCTCTCTCTCTGTGTTTGTCTCTTTTGGCATCTGTCTCTGTGTATGTGCATCTCTCTTTGTCCCTTTCTGCAGCTCCTCCCACCCTTAGCCTCCTTCCTCAACTGGGAGACTCTGAGGGTCCCTGGTCTGCAACGGATCCTTGCATAGCTTCGTGTCCAGGAAAAAGCCCAAAATGGCCAACCAAACATACCAAGTGTCTACACTAACTTCCGCCTCTTCGCTGAGTGGATGCAGCAAACCATCCAAGCCAGTTAACCACATGTGGTGCCAGGAACAACACCATCCTTTGAAATTCACCCTCAGGCTCAAGCCTCCAGCTAAGGTGCTCAGACCCTTCCTCCTTCAGATCCTGGAGTCCAGGACCCAGCTCCTTCAGATGGTGTTCACCCCTTTGACAGGTGGGGAGACTGAAGCGTGGAGGGCAGCTGTGTTAGTCTGTTCATGCTTTGCTATAAAGGAGTATCTGAGACTGGGTAATTTACAAAGAAAATAAACTTAATTGGCTCACAGTTATGCAGGCTGTACAAGCATGACACTAATATCTGCTCGGCTTCTGGTGAAGGCCCCAGGAAGCTTAAAATCACGGCAGAAGGCGAAGTGGGGGCAGGTGTGCCACACTGAGAGAGAGGAAGCAAAGAGGAGAGGGGGTCCTAGATTCTTTTAAACAGCCAGATCTCGTGTGCATTAACTGAGCAAGAACTCACTTGTCACGAAGGAAACGGCACTAAGCCATTCTCGAGGGATCTGTCCGCATGACCCAATCACCTCTCATCAGGCCCCACCTCCAATATTGTGAATCACATTTCAACATGAGATTTAGAACGGACAAACATGAAAACCGTATCAGCGGCAGAGCCTGGGAGCCACAGATCAATCCCCGTCTCAGGACCTCTTTCTAGAACAATGATGGGGCCAGCAATGACATGTCAAGAGAAGGAAAAAGTCCTCAGAAGAAGACCCTTGAGGCTCAAACCCCACACCTACTTAGGGAAGGACCTGGTGTTCCACAGAAGGAAGGGTGGCTGACACTGATTGACTACTTACAAATCATGCCTTAACTCATTCAAACCTCAGTGACCTTTGCATGAGCTGAATATGACCATATTTTCATCAAATCTATGATGGCAGCCTCGCAACGTGCCCTGCTAAGGTGTGAAAGTGCCTCCAATGAAACTACCATATGCCATTGATTTCAAATATGCCCATTTTCAGACACATTAAGAAGGAAGTCGGAGAACTTATGAAATGGGGTAATGTCAGAGGCAATTGAACCAGAGAAACTCCATCTTGAACAGGAGCTGGGCAAGATGAGGGTGAGATCTACTGAGCTGCATTCCCAGACAGTGAAGGCATTTTAAGTCATAGGATGAGACAGGAGGTCGGCACAAGATACAGGTCATAAAGACCTTACTGATAAAACAGGCTGCAGTAAAGAAGCCGGCCAAATCCCACCAAAACCAAGATGGCGACGAGAGTGACCTCTGGTCGTCCTCACTGCTACACTCCCACCAGCACCATGACAGGTTACAGATGCCATGCCAAAGTTACATGGCAGGAAGTTACCCTACATGGTCTAAAAAGGGGAGGCTTGAATAATCCATCCCTTGTTTAGCATATCATCAAGAAATAACCATAAAAATGGGCAACTCGCAGCCCTCGGGGCTACTCTGTCTATGGAGTAGCCATTCTTTTATTCCTTTTCTTTCTTAATAAACTTGCTTTCACTTTGCTCTACAACCTTGTCCTGAATTCCTTCCTGTGTGAGATCCAACAACCCTCTCTTGGGGTCTGGATCACGATCCCTTTCTGGCAACATTAATACTATTCCCATGTAACAGCTGAGGACACTCAGCTGGGAATAGTATTAATGTTGCATGGGCTGTATTAATGAGGCATGGGCTGCCTAAGACACAAGTCCCAGGCCCACAGTGGAGGGGATTCTGCTGGGCCCACCCTCAGAGGCTGGATAGGTAGTCAAGGAAGTGACCACATCCTTGGGACGCAGCGACTGTAGTGACCTATAGTCCACAGAGTGAGCCTCAGCATTTGCACTGTCATTGAGCTCATTCAAGCAAAGCTGTCTTCCGTAGGGACGTCTCCTCCAGAGAGTATGCACATTTTGATTTTACCTGTCCTTAGGCTGACCCTTTGCTCATTATAACAGTAAACAAACACACTCTT